TTAATTTTACGTTACGTTACGTAGTTTTAGTTTAGGTAGGTCGTACTTACGTTAGTTACGTTACTACTATATACGTAGTCGATACTACGTATATTTAACTTACTATATATATATATATATATATATATATATATATATAATCCCAAAAAATAAGGAATTTGTTTGTAATGTATTTTTTAATGTTTTTATCATTTTGGCAAAGATTGGAAAGTGTTTTGGCCATGAAAATTTATATCTTCCATTTTTTTTTTTAGAAAATTTCAAAAATACCCTAGGGCACAAGTTGATTTTTTAGAATCCATTTTTTTCACTACTTTTCAACTTTATTTGGATGTGCTTTGTTTAATCATGCTTTAAATATACTTTTCATTTTTTTTTGTATTTTTTCAATTTTTTTTAACACTTTTTGGATCGGACAGAATTTGTTCGGTTAAGCCGGTTAGTTTACTGGTTACTCGGACCCGGCCTGTAGCCAGTTCGATTTTTCAAACACTGGTTTGATGTGGAATGGTTCTTGCAAACACTGGTTTGATGTGAAGGGTTAAGGGTCATGAAAAGAGAGACACCATCTGTGTGCGTTATATCAGGAATGGAAACCATGGATACTCTAATTAAAGAAAATACTCATTTAGAAGGGATGAACTTTCCAGCTCTCCGAGCTTCACATCTCCACCAACCCAGGCCTCAGTGGCATGCTGATCCCCCTTTACTTCGATCTAGTGATCCCTTCCCCTCACCTGGTACTTCAAGCTCAACATCGGTCGCTCATCTCGTGGTAATCCAGGCACTGGGGACGATGGGGGATAGTCTAGTGATCATTTCTCCTCATCTGGTACTTCAAGGTCAACATCAATCGCTCATCTTGTTGTAATCCAGGCACTGGGGACGATGGGGGATAGTAAAAAACGATACATGTGGCTTCATAGCACCTTTGCCATCCCTTTGGGCCCTACCCCTAACAATGCCATGGACTTTCATGCCTTGGACTGGGGCTTTTCTTTGGAGTAGAAGTTGGATTGTTGCCCACTCTTCATCAAGAGCGACTCCAAGCTGTTAGTGGATTCGCTCACCCACTGTTGCTCACCCCCATGGAGGCTGCGCATTGCAGAGCTAAGCTCCTCTCCGTCGATCGTTAGTGGCACATCTCTCATGTCTTCCGGGAGGCAAACATGGCTGCTGATTACCTAGCCAAAAGCAAGTATCCATATTTCAAGCCAAGGTATGTCAGGCCTGCTCCCCAGATTTTGTTACTCATAATTTTACAGGACTTTGCCACCCTTGAAAGGGTGTGTAATGCCTGTATATGTGACCTTCTTATATCTAAACTTTATGTAAACTTTTTTTTACAGTATTAATTAAAATGAAAAAAAAATGGGCAGGGTCTCGTCATCCCCACAGATTTACCCAAAAAGAAAAACACATGAAAGGGAAGTTTGTTAGATCTCTCTCTCAAAGCTTTGGATATTATATATCAAAATCTCATTTAATTCACACTTATACCTATTTTTCTCACTTTTTTGGTTAATACACATTTTGCCCTCGTTACGTACTTGATACATTCGTGACGCTACAACAACTACAGATCTAATACATCTGAGGTGGTCGTTTGCCCCCAAACGCCATGGAGTAGGGTCTGTGTGATCCCATCACAAACCTACTAAGTCCATGATGATGCTTAAGGCACAGCTAGTAGTAGCCACCATCAAGGGAACCTCGCCCCTGACATGGACCTGCTAGGCCTGTGGCGATGCCTAAGGTATTCGTGGCAGCATGAGTTAAAACATCTATCATGGATGTATTATATCCGCAGTAGATGTAGCATAAGATATATCAAGTCCATAACAAGGGTAAAATGACATTAATAAAAAATGGGAAAATGGGTATGAGTGTAAATTAAGTATGATTTGGTATATCGGTAATATTCGAAACTTTAAAGGATATATATGATAATTTACCTAAAGAAAAAAGAAAAATTAGGTGGATAAAAGATAATTCCCAAAGAGAAGCACGGCTGCATACATATGGATATATCAAATAGTTTCCGTTATTATAGGTATGTCCGTTTTTTATTTTTTATAACGTAATTTTTTTTAAAAAGACCACTTTATCTTTTTTCGGATGTTCAACATCTGAAAATAGGCCAAAGGTTAAACGTTTCATTTCCTATTTTTGGATGTTGAACATTCGAAATTAAAAGATTTTCGGATGTTCAACATCCGAAATATCGCGATTGTTAAACGTTAAGTATAACATTTTCGGATGTTGATCAGAATTTAAGAGATTTTTGGATGTTCAACATACGAAATACCTTGATAGTTAAATAAACCTTCGTCTTCTCTGTTTTCGGATGTTGAACATTCCAAAATCTCTTGAATGCGAATATTCAACATCCGAAAACGTTATAGTTAACGTTAAACTATCGAGGCATTTCGGATGTTGAACATCCGAAAATTCCTTAATTTCGGATGTTTAGCATCCGAAAATAGAAAATTTAATGTTTAACTTTAGGCCTATTCTCGGATGATGAACATTCGAAAATCCCACCAATTCAGATGTCCAACATCCGAAAAAGGGTAAAGTGGCCTTTTTTTTAAAAATTGTGTTATAAAAGGTTAAAATGGACATAAATGTAATAACAGAAACTATTTGGTATATCGGTAATAATGCAAAGTATAACGGATTTTTAGGTAATTTTCTTTTTTCCTTATTAGGCCGGTATAGTAAGTGTACAATGTGCTTTTTACAATATAGTAAGTGTACATTGCATAGTCAGCCAATCGTCGATTAAACGAAAACTTTTTTTTAGGGAAAATTACATAAATATCTGTTTTAGTTTTCGTTATTATCAAAATACCGAATACTTTTTGTTATTACTGATATATCCGTTTTTTGGACTTTATAACAAATTTTTTTAAAAAAGATGAAACTACTCATTTTCTGTTTTTCAAAAACCAAAATCAGGCCGATTTCGGTTTTTGAAATATTGCAAGTTTAAAATTTTTTGTTATTCAAGAACTTTAAATTTTTGGTTTTTCAATAACCGAAATATTTTTCTCTCCCAAAACCGACAAGTTTCAAGCCACTTTCGCGAGTCTGCTCTACAAAACCTCACAACCATGGCCTTTCTGATTAGCAAAGATGGTTTCAGAAAGAGGTTTCGGTGAGGGGTCTCTCAACTTCAAAACCCTACAACCATGACCTCTCCGATTAGCAAAGATGATTTCAGAGAGAGAGGTTTCAGGGAGAGAGGGGGTTCTGATTGAGAGAGGGGGGGGGTTTGTGGGACAGAGATGGTTTAAGAGTGATAGAGAAGAACTCTCCGATTAGCAAAGATGGTTTCAGAGAAGCGCAACCCGATTAGCAAAGGGGGTTTAAGAGAGGGGTTTTAGGGAGAGAAGGGGTTTGATTGAAAGATGGTGGTTGAGAGAGGGGGTTTCAAAGAGATAGAGAAGGGGTTTCAGAGAGAGAAGTAGAGAAAGAATACACAGGAACCTATAAGAAAGAAAATTTTTTATTATTCAAAAACCGAAATTGGCGTTATTTTGGTTTTTAAAAAACCGAAAATTGGTAGTTTTGCCTTTACGTTATGAAGTCCAAAAAACGGACATATTAGTAATAACAGAAAGTATTCGACATTTTGGTAGTAATGGAAACTAAAATGGATATTTATGTAGTTTTTCTTTTGTCAAAAAAAAATTGGCGTATTTATGAAAACCCTTTAGAACTGTGACTTTTTTAAAACTTTGGCAAAAAAACGTGCCTTTTCGGTTAAAAATGCGTTTTTTTCATAAAACGATTTAAACCATTTCAAAAAATCGTACCTTTTCTTACTTGTAATTTTTTTGAAAGATTAATTTTTTTTTCTTGTCTTGTATATTGTAGTTATTGCTATTTTCATGCTTTCTAAAAGAAGTATTATTTCCAAAAAAAGTAAACCTAAAATAGAAATTTTTATCCCCAATAGGTTTATGTATTGTTAGGATTTTTATTATCTTAGGGTTTATGATGAAATCGGCTTCTTCAAAATCACAGTTGCAGATTGAAGGTACGAAATAAAATTTCCCCATTGTTTTTTTAACTTAAACAAATAGATGCATATTTCAGTTGTTATTATGGAAAACGTTGTGTAATGAAATATTGTTTATAGGAAATTCCTTTGTAATCATATACATGCAGATTTCTGTGATTATTTGTGATAATAGTTATTATGAAAATGCTGTTTACGGCACAAATTAGAGCTCAAAACATACTCTTTTACTTGTGAATGAGAAGCATAGAGTGTGACTACCTTGCCTAAGATGTAAGAAATGCCCTACAGGACCAAGTAATCAATATTTTGTTTTTGATTACGTGATAACAAAGATAAAGAGCATACTGTAAACTGTAAACTTACATGAGCAAGCAATTGGACACATAGGATTAGTTGCCCAAACCTAATCCCTTACTTGAGCAAGCAATTGAACACAT